AACAAACCCAAAGCAAACAAACCGTAAAACTAAAACTAAAACATACAAACGGAACGGAAAAATCAGGCGAACAAGAAAGCAAAATAATAAATAAATGGGATCACCTTACGATGTTGCTGATCAGCAAATACTCTGTGAAGGCCCAGTCAATTGCTTTGGCAACTGCCAAGAGGACTGGGACTACCACGGTTGCCATCTAAACTGTCTGATCTGTCTACTTCTGGGCACTAGGGAAAAAATAACCCTTAGAACAATAATTTTTTCATTACAAATTGCTGGCTCGGATTTCATATTAATTGTTCTCCACAGCTATCCATCGATAGCGATAATCGCAGTAGGCCTATAATAATAGGCCATACATAGAATACAGCTTGAAACCGCAGTTAGGGAAGTATACATCTAGTTGTCAGAGATCCACTTCCCTCTCTTTTGATCGTTACTTCGTTTATATAAGTTGTACTTGTAATATTATTTTATATTATGCTCCAACTTCAATGAAAAGATATCGTCAATCATACGTTTGGAATCAAGGAAGATGTAGAACGTGCCTTACTATTCACACGTGTGATGGGGATATTCTTTTTTATGTTAGGGATTTAAACAGAAATTTTGCCTGGATATGTCGGCCAACTGTAGAATTTTTCTCAGCCACCAATAACATATCAAATATGTAACCCCGAAAATTCCTTCCCTCTGCATGGTACAAACTTCATTCTTTAAAATGGAAACAAATACACAAAAATTATATGGATGTTGGCAAGCCATCGACTTACAATTTCACATTTGTCAAATAGAGATGTAGGCTTAAACCATCTAAGATGATATTCATCTTGTATGTGTTATATTTATTATTAGCACATCTGGCCGTTAAAAAATAAATGGAGAAGAAGTTAGAACTAGATCTAGATCTAGATCTATAGACTTAATTTAGATCTATATATCTAGATCTAGATTCTAGATAGATCTATCTACATCAAGAATCTTGTTAAAGTTAAGTAAAGCAAAATGAAAACGACAAAGATAATTACAGCAGGTGCACAGGTATCGCGCCAAAGCCCAGCGTTCTTACCAACAGTCACCTGAGAGTTGGATTTATCAGGACCGATGATGTAGCATGTTATTCTTTTGGGGGTTCACGCTCGGTCTTTAACTTTATGGCCATTTCTTTTCTTTCACTTTTCTTTCAGCAACCCTGAACTGTATGTGTAAAGACCGGATGTAAATAAACATAATGAGAACACTTCAAAAATTGAATTTGTCATTGTGCGGGTTGCATCAAAGATAGTACAAGACAAGAT